CTCGCGAGCCACATGCGGCTCTTTAGTTAAAAGATTTTATTTATGCAAATACTATTTATTGTTGGAAAGAAAAAATTTTGTGGCTTTTTAAAAATTTTGAAAATTTTGTAAAATTGTAATTTTTGGCTCTTCCGACTTACAAAAGGTTGCCGATCCCTGTTCTAAGATAATTATTTGACTTTATGCATAGATGTGCACAATTTTTTTCATTCAAAATTTCTAAACAATTATTTACATTATTTTTTTGATTTATTCAATTTTGATAAATATAGTAATGTCTTTAAATATATATATATATTTTTAAATAGACTATAAGAATGATTTGAAATGTAATTATAAAAAAAATTATTTTATAACAAATAATCTACATAGAAAAATACGTAGATAACTCATTGATAAATTTCTGCATAGGAATTTCATTGATAATAGTTTACTAATATATTTTTAATTAAATATAAGAATAAAAAGAAATATATATATATATATATATAAACCAAATATATCTAATTTATATTGCCTTGATTGTACAATAATAATCATGTGCAATAATCATATTTTTTCTTTTGTTTTGTTTTATATATAAAATATTGCGTACAAATCAAAATAGATGACGATGAGATATGAGTAATTATTATATATATATATATAATTACTGTATTATTACTCATATCTCATCGTATATATATATATACACATTTCTTGAAATATAATTATATACTAACTTAATCGAACTCAGGTATATCATCGAAAGAATAACCAGGTACTTTTTGGTAAGCTAAAATAGCAACTCTCATGTGGTAAGCTCCAGGTATAAACATTAATGCTCCTAATATAATCACAGGCCACATTCTATCAGAATACTGTAATAAAGAAATCAAATAATTAATTACATGATCAGTTCATATATATATGTAATACATATTTAAATTATACTTTGTTAAACATATTATTATTATCTGTAAGAACATTATATATATTATATATTTTTTTACAAGGCAATATAAGAAGAAAATAAAAGACAAATAATTTACTTTGGAATCAATGTGACCGCTGATTATTAAACTTCCCATTATGAGCATAACGGTTCCTCCTACAAATAAAAGAGCAGCTAACGTGATGGCTTTCCATGGTATTTTCACTGGTGGATTCACAAACTGTAAAGGTGATAATTAAACATTCAAATCATTGTAAACATGAATTATTTTGAACACGTTGTTAGATTTTCATTTGACTATACTGATACTTTTTTTTTTTAATTCATTCTTATCTTCATCTTGTGTATCAAAACAATTAGTAGACAATCTTTAGAATTACTTTTTAATATTATAGATAAATATTATTAATTAATGATTACCTGTGAATCTATAAAGCCATTGTCAGTTTCGGTTAGCTGTGTGTAATCCACGTTGTTAAATTGTCTCTCACCACTGCCAATCTTCCTTCTTGACATACTCACTTTATAATTATAATCTGTAATGTCAAATTAAACACATTATTATTTATTGATACAAGTATATACATTTAATTTAAGTAGTTTTTGTTTTTACACATTTTGACATATTTTTATGAAACTTTGTCAACATTGATTTTTTTGATCATACAGAAAAGTATTGTTAATTGATAAATATATATATATATAAAAGGTTGATATATTTACCTAGACGAGGACGCCAATGCATATATAAGTCTAATGACCTGTCATTTATCTTTGATCGTTTATGGTGCAGTAAAACGCGCATTGCGCAAAGTTAAAACATGTCGATTGTTATTATTTATTTACACATAAAATTATTACTTTTACCAATAAGTATTTGTCTATAGTACATGTCAATATATAACAGTAATTAATATTTGTACTATAATAGTATGATTTGTTAAAATTATGAAACTATACACAAAATTTTAACATCAATCAAACGGAGTTAACCTCACATATGGTAAAACTTCTTTTTATCACAAATGGTGTTTGTTTTATCCAAAAACAAAAAAAAAAACAAAGAAAAGACAAAATGTAAAGAAACGTATTGCGCACTTCAACTGCAATATGTCATTTTTATAATTAGAAATTTAAATGATTACTTTTTTAATTGTATGTTAATCTCGCACAATTGTATATAATTTGATTATTTTATTTTATTTTATATATTTATTGAAAATATATATATGTAATTATGTTTTTTCATTTATTTATTTATTATAAACAATTATTTTTATTGTTATTCAACATTTATTGTAATGTGTGACATTATCTATGTGATTATAAATTGCGTTAACAGATGGCGATTGTGTAACGTCAATACTCGTGCTGCCATCTACGCAACATACGAAACTAACGGAGCGGGAAATTTATGGAGTTCATCGTAAAATGAATTAACATCTAAATAGTCTATTAAATGTAACAATCAATGACGATCTATTCTCGTTAAAATTTTAATGATATTTTATTCAATAGAAATGATTCAAATTAATTGACTATTTGTTACTAATCAAAACAACATCTTTTAAGGTATTTCAAGTAATTTTTGTAGCATGGATTGATGAACAGGTCAGAGAACAAAATATTGTATATTAATGATATGGATTAATAATATGGAATAAAATATACCTGTACTGAACCAGCTGGTCCACATATCAAAGAGACCCAAGGAAATTATGAAAAATAATCACCATGAATTATCTTCTTCTTCTTCTTCTTCTTTCTTGAAAGAGAACAAACACGTCCGATCGGATCAATGCGATGTGTATTATTTTACAAAAAATAATATTATCTTTTCATTAAGCTACATAATAAAATTAAGAAAGTTTTCAATCAAGTATATTATTCCTTTTTTAATATTTTTTTCTAGATTACCAATAACAATTTCAGATCTACTGACATATGCACAAATCTTGAACGAACTATGACCTAATTTGAAGTAATAATTTAGACAAAGAGCATACGTAAGAGCATAAGATTGAAAATAAATGAAAAACAATTAATTGATGAAGAAAAGATGCAAGATGCTGCAAATGCTGCTGCATCCCTCTTTTTTCATCCCTTATATCTCAATACTTTTTCTCACAGTTTTATTTCTTTCTATTTTTTTTTTTTTTTTCTAGATGACTCGTACTACTCATAAGAGCCGGATTATTCTTTTTTTAAGTTCCTTTCGAGAAGAGTTGTTATCTTGGAATTTGTCCTTGATCGAACGATCCGTTGGTAGTCAAAAAAAAAAAAGCACTTCAACGTGGCTCATCGAAATATACGTTTCTTCTCATCGTTGAATGTTCTAGCATAACGCGTGATGACAAAGTTACAAGATACGATGAAGAATGACAGACAGAGGTACATTTCCCAAATGGGAAGAAGTGAAAAATCGCGGCCGTCCTTCCACTAATTTCGCTAGAATCGATCTGCGAGAAGCTTCCTCTAACCGCGGAGGCTGTGGACAGCAGTGCCGGCCGATTGCGGAATAGAACCAAGACGCATAACCGTCGCATAATGCCGCACCGAAGAACACACAACCGATATATTCTATATGATTCATCAATTAAACTTAAACTCTAACTAAATTTATTACTATTTAATATTAGAATATTTTCCAAATATTTTCTCATTACATTTTTATATTTATAATATTTGATAATTAACGTTTAATTTATATTGTGTCAAATATTATAAATATATTCACAATTTATATAATATTAGAATTTACATTTGCAATGTTATTATTTGAAATATATTTTCATTTTATTTTTCTTTATTATATTTAATAATTTTCACTTTAATTAATATTGTCAAATATTTACAATTTATAGTATCGCAATTTAAATCTGCAATATTTTGAAAATATTTTTATCTAATTTTTCTTTATTATATTTAATAATTAACGTTAATTTATATTGTTAAATATTATATATATATAAAAACCGGCTTTTTTAATTGGAAAAAAGTAAATTCTGCATTAAACGTAAAACTACCTTTTAATATTGGTATTGATTTTGATAACAATTATAATAAAAATATATAATAAAAAAAACAAAAAACAAAAAGAAATATCATTTTATAATATCAATATGATAGTTCTAATACAAATATCCTATATAAATATTTATTATTGATTATATTAAAAGTAAAATATTCAAAGATTATAAAAAAAAAAATACAAAAGAAATCGTTGTAAAGTCTATCACGCAAACCGTGTATTCCGATTGGTCACGTTATAAACGCGCTTTATATTATATAACTTAAAACAATAATTTTTTTTCAAGATTATCGATTAAAAAATAACGTATATAAATATAAACATAGAATAATTGTAAAATGAATTGAATATTATAACATTTACCACGTAATTAAATATATCATATATACATATATATATATGTATATTCAATAGATAAATATATATATATATATATATATATATATATATATATATATATATATATATGTATATTTATATTTTTAATTTGAAAGGGATAGAAAAATTATAAAAAGAGGGTATTAAAAAGGATTAATACGATACTGTATAAAATGAAACGCATGCGCTAAAACGACCCCGTATGATGAACAGTGTTCGAAGGATGGCGGTGAGCCAGGGGCGGCAGTGCGGGTTTAGGGGGCAGCGAGGGCGGGTGCCTCCGTTGAAACAACCCCTTGACAACAGGCCCGCGATCAGTCTCGCCCTCGACGTGTCACCACCGTATTGCTCTCTCTTTCTATCTATCTATCTATCTATCTATCTTTTTCTCTCTATCTTCAATTTTTCATTCAAAATTGTCATTTAATCACGAATGAACGAATTAACGAATGGGGAACGTCGATTAACGAATTAACAAAAAGAAAAAAAGAAATATTCTATACTAGTGATATAGTTTCTTGTATTTTTGTTGTTGTTGTTGGTTGTGTTTTATTTTTTTTTTTCTGCTTCTTCTTCTTCTTCTTCTTCTTCTAATCATAAACTTGCACTCTCTCTCTCTTTCTCTCTCTCTCTCTCTCTCTTTTTGGTAGGGATTGTTCTTTACCAAAAGAAGAAGAAGAAGAAGAAAAAGTAGTAGTAGAAGAAGAAGAAGAAGAAAAAAACAAAGACAGTATATAAAAGAAGAGGAAGAAAAAGAAGAAGAAGAAGAAGAAGAAAGGGATCGATAGATCGCAAAGAGAAAAAAAAAAATTAGAAAAAAAAAGAAAAAACCTTGAAGATCATTAAACACGTATCTTCGAATCTATTTGACGTTCGCGTGCCGTCGGTGCTTCGTGGTGCTTCGGCTGCTTTAGTGTGGCACCTCCGTAGACCGTCCCCGCTCATTCAGGTAAATCGATAGTAGTATACACACATATACACACCAGTTACGATTATATATTTTTTTTCTTTTTTCTTTTTTTTAATAGGTAAAAGAATACATTTTTCTTTTTCTTGTCCATTGTTTTTATCCCCCTTTTTTTTTTTTTTAGATGTGTGTGAAAAATGATTTATTTTTTTTCATTTTATTTTGTTGTTGTCGTTGGTTGTAATTGTAAAGTACAATCAATGGGGAAATTTGGGGCCGGTATAAATTCGAACGACGCAGTTAGTAAACTCTTCTTCTTCGTTTTTTTTTTTTTTCTTTTTTTTTTATTTATCCTTCGTCTTTTCATATCGACCTGAACTTTTGCACTACACTTCTCTATGATTATAGTTATTTCTTTTTTTTTTTTTTATTATTATTATTATGATGATGATGATGATTATTATTATTATTACTATCAAATACGATGAAGATTGAATAAAATGCGCGCGCTGTTTTTAAGAGGATAAAAAAGGTATGCGATAAGGTAGTAATAGTGCTTCGTTATTTTGACATCGAGAATATCTTCTTTTATAAGCATGATATTATATTATATCTATATCTATTGTAATATATTCTAATGTTGATTGATAATCTTATCACCAAGAATTTGTATTTCTATTTTTTTTTTTTTTTTTGAATACGACAAACCTTTCATTTTATTTTCTTATCGTTAGTTATCAAAATTTCATTACTATTTAAGATATATATTATTAATATATTTATTTATATTTATTATTATTATTATATTTATTTATATTTATTATTATTATTATTATATTTATTTATATTTATTATTATTATTATTATATTTATTTATATTTATTATTA